GGGGGCTAGTAGTGAGGCGGAACCGACCTAATTGATGATGATGAGGTGATCGCACTGGCGCCTCGTGCGTCATATCAGGCTATTGCTTCCGCATCATCAGGAGAAAAGGGTGCCAGCTTGGCAGTGCGAGCAAAACAGTCGGTGGGTTGCCCAGGAACTAGGCAGCAGGTCGCAGCAGTGTCAGTGTTGTGGAGGCAAACGGCCACGGAGTAGAGCACCAGCTCCACTGCAGCCTAGCCACCAGACGGCCAGTAGTGGTGCCGGTCGTGCACGGTGAGGAAGTAGCAGTCAGCCAGTGAGGAGTATCGGGGGCAAAGTTTCCTACTCTGGGCGGTGTGGCAATTTTTCGTCAAGCCGCCCGAGGAAGTAAACGTAGCCGTATGTCGACTATGTGGCCAGAAAGTCAAGCGTGGCCAGGGGGCCCATGTCTCCATCGCCACACTCTGCCATGTGCCACTTTCAGGTCTCCTCACACTGCTGGTGGGTTCCATTTTGTCATAGGGTGCTGGCAGATTACGGGCCTCCCATTGCTGCGCCTCCTCATCATGCTGCTGCCAGGTCCAGAGTGTCTCATGGGTCCCTGTACGGCCTCCCATTGCTGCTGTCTCCATCGCCACACTCTGCCATGTGCCACTTTCAGGTCTCCTCACACTGCTGGTGGTGGGTTCCATTTTGTCAGGGGTGCTGGCAGATTACGGGCCTCCCATTGCTGCTGCCAGGCCCGTAATCTGCCATGGGCCCCCGTACCGCCTCCTCATGCTGCTGCCAGGTCCAGAGTGTCTCATGGGTCCCTGTACGGCCTCCCATTGCTGCTGTCTCCATCGCCACACTCTGCCATGTGCCACTTTCAGGTCTCCTCACACTGCTGGTGGGTTCCATTTTGTCATAGGGTGCTGGCAGATTACGGGCCTCCCATTGCTGCTGCCAGGCCCGTAATCTGCCATGGGCCCCCGTACCGCCTCCTCATGCTGCTGCCAGGTCCAGAATCTGTCTCATGGGTCCCTGTACGGCCTCCCATTGCTGCTGTCTCCATCGCCACACTCTGCCATGTGCCACTTTCAGGTCTCCTCTCACTGCTGGTGGGTTCCATTTTGTCATAGGGTGCTGGCAGATTACGGGGCCTCCCATTGCTGCTGCCAGGCCCGTAATCTGCCATGGGCCCCTGTACCGCCTCCTCATGCTGCTGCCAGGTCCAGAGTGTCTCATGGGTCCCTGTACGGCCTCCCATTGCTGCTGTCTCCATCGCCACACTCTGCCATGTGCCACTTTCAGGTCTCCTCCTCACACTGCTGGTGGGTTCCATTTTGTCATAGGGTGCTACGGGCAGATTACGGGCCTCCCATTGCTGCTGCCAGGCCCGTAATCTGCCATGGGCCCCTGTACCGAGCCTCCTCCTCATGCTGCTGCCAGGTCCAGAGTGTGTCTCATGGGTCCCTGTACGGCCTCCCATTGCTGCTGTCTCCATCGCCACACTCTGCCATGTGCCACTTTCAGGTCTCCTCACACTGCTGGTGGTGTTCCATTTTGTCATAGGGTGCTGGCAGATTACGGGCCTCCCATTGCTGCTGCCAGGCCCGTAATCTGCCATGGGCCCCCTGTACCGCCTCCTCATGCTGCTGCCAGGTCCAGAGTGTCTCATGGGTCCCTGTACGGCCTCCCATTGCTGCTGTCTCCATCGCCACACTCTGCCATGTGCCACTTTCAGGTCTCCTCACACTGCTGGTGGGTTCCATTTTGTCATAGGGTGCTGGCAGATTACGGGCCTCCCATTGCTGCTGCCAGGCCCGTAATCTGCCATGGGGCCCCTGTACCGACTCCTCATGCTGCAGTGCCCGTAATCTGTCATGGGCCCCTGTACCGCCATGCTGTCTGCCAGGTCCAGAGTGTTTCATGGGTCCCTGTACGGCCTCCCATTGCTGCTGTCTCCATCGCCACCACTCTGCCATGTGCCACTTTCAGGTCTCCTCACACTGCTGGTGGGTTCCATTTTGTCATAGGGGCTGGCAGATTACGGGCCTCCCATTTCTGCTGCTGCCAGGCCCGTAATCTGCCATGGGCCCCGTACCGACTCCTCCTCATGCTGCTGCCAGGCCCGTAATCTGTGCCATGGGCCCCTGTACCGCCTCCTCATGCTGCTGCCAGGTCCAGAGTCTCATGGGTCCCTGTACGGCCTCCCATTGCTGCTGTCTCCATCGCACACACTCTGCCATGTGCCACTTTTCAGGTCTCCCTCACACTGCTGGTGGGTTCCATTTTGTCATAGGGTGCTGGCAGATTACGGCCTCCCATTGCTGCTGCCAGGCCCGTAATCTGCCATGGGCCCCCGTACCGACTCCTCATGCTGCTGCCCCGTAATCTGTCATGGGCCCCTGTACCGCCGCCTCCTCATGCTGCTGCCAGGTCCAGAGTGTCTCATGGGTCCCTGTACGGCCTCCCATTGCTGCTGCTGTCTCCATCGCCACACTCTGCCATGTGCCACTTTCAGGTCTCCTCACACTGCTGGTGGGTTCCATTTTGTCATAGGGTGCTGGCAGATTACGGGCCTCCCATTGCTGCTGCCAGGCCCGTAATCTGCCATGGGCCCCCCGTACCGACTCCTCATGCTGCTGCCAGGTCCAGAGTAATCTGTCATGGGCCCCTGTACCGCCTCCTCATGCATGCTGCTGCCAGGTCCAGAGTGTGTCATGGGTCCCTGTACGGCCTCCCATTGCTGCTGTCTCCATCGCCAGGCCTCTGCCATGTGCCCACTTTCAGGTCTCCTCACACTGCTGCTGGTGCCATTTTGTCATAGGGTGCTGGCATGGGATTCCCTGGGCCTCCCATGCTGCTGCCTGTCTCCATCGCCCACACTCTGCCATGTGCCACTTTCAGGTCTCCTCACACTGCTGGTGGGTTCCATTTTGTCATAGGGTGCTGGCAGATTACGGCCTCCCATTGCTGCTGCCAGGCCCGTAATCTGCCATGGGCCCCCGTAATCCGCCCCTGTACCGCCTCCTCATGCTGCTGCCAGGTCCAGAGTGTCTCATGGGTCCCTGTACGGCCTCCCATTGCTGCTGTCTCCATCGCCACACTCTGCCATGTGCCACTTTCAGGTCTCCTCACACTGCTGGTGGGTTCCATTTTGTCATAGGGTGCTGGCAGATTACGGGCCTCCCATTGCTGCTGCCAGGCCGTAATCTGCCATGGGCCCCCGTACCGCCTCCTCATGCTGCTGCCAGGTCCAGAGTCTCTCATGGGGTCCCTGTACGGCCTCCCATTGCTGCTGTCTCCATCGCCACACTCTGCCATGTGCCACTTTCAGGTCTCCTCACACTGCTGGTGGGTTCCATTTTTTGTCATAGGGTGCTGGCAGATTACGGGCCTCCCATTGCTGCTGCCAGGCCCGTAATCTGCCATGGGCCCCCGTACCCCGCCTCCTCATGCTGCTGCCAGGTCCAGAGTGTCTCATGGGTCCCTGTACGGCCTCCCATTGCTGCTGTCTCCATCGCCACACTCTGCCATGTGCCACTTTCAGGTCTCCTCCACACTGCTGGTGGGTTCCATTTTGTCATAGGGTGCTGGCAGATTACGGGCCTCCCATTGCTGCTGCCAGGCCCGTAATCTGCCATGGGCCCCCCCGTACCGCCTCCTCATGCTGCTGCCAGGTCCAGAGTGTCTCATGGGTCCCTGTACGGCCTCCCATTGCTGCTGTCTCCATCGCCACACTCTGCCATGTGCCACTTTCAGGTCTCCTCACACTGCTGGTTTTTCCATTTTGTCATAGGGTGCTGGCAGATTACGGGCCTCCCATTGCTGCTGCCAGGCCCGTAATCTGCCATGGGCCCCCGTACCGCCTCCTCATGCTGCTGCCAGGTCCAGAGTGTGTCATGGGTCCCTGTACGGCCTCCCATTGCTGCTGTCTCCATCGCCACACACTCTGCCATGTGCCACTTTCAGGTCTCCTCACACTGCTGGTGGGTTCCATTTTGTCATAGGGTGCTGGCAGATTACGGGCCTCCCATTGCTGCTGCCAGGCCCGGCCCGTAATCTGCCATGGGCCCCCGTACCGCCTCCTCATGCTGCTGCCAGGGTCCAGAGTGTGTCATGGGTCCCCTGTACGGCCCTCCCATTGCTGCATGGGTCTCCATCGCCCATTGCTGCTGTCTCCATCGCCACACTCTGCCATGTGCCACTTTCTTTCAGGTCTCCTCACACTGCTGGTGGGTTCCATTTTGTCATAGGGTGCTGGCAGATTACGGGCCTCCCATTGCTGCTGCCAGGCCCGTAATCTGCCATGGGCCCCCGTACCGCCTCCTCATGCTGCTGCCAGGTCCAGAGTGTGTCATGGGTCCCTGTACGGCCTCCCATTGCTGCTGTCTCCATCGCCACACTCTGCCATGTGCCACTTTCAGGTCTCCTCACACTGCTGGTGGGTTCCATTTTGTCATAGGGTGCTGGCAGATTACGGGCCTCCCATTGCTGCTGCCAGGCCCGTAATCTGCCATGGGCCCCTGTACCGCCTCCTCATGCTGCTGCCAGGTCCAGAGTGTCTCATGGGTCCCTGTACGGCCTCCCATTGCTGCTGTCTCCATCGCCACACTCTGCCATGTGCCACTTTCAGGTCTCCTCACACTGCTGGTGGGTTCCATTTTGTCATAGGGTGCTGGCAGATTACGGGCCTCCCATTGCTGCTGCCAGGCCCGTAATCTGCCATGGGCCCCCGTACCGACTCCTCATGCTGCTGCCAGGCCCGTAATCTGTCATGGGCCCCTGTACCGCCTCCTCATGCTGCTGCCAGGTCCAGAGTGTCTCATGGGTCCCTGTACGGCCTCCCATTGCTGCTGTCTCCATCGCCACACTCTGCCATGTGCCACTTTCAGTCTCCTCACACTGCTGGTGGGTTCCATTTTTGTCATAGGGTGCTGGCAGATTACGGGCCTCCCATTGCTGCTGCCAGGCCCGTAATCTGCCATGGGCCCCCGTACCGACTCCTCATGCTGCTGCCAGGCCCGTTATCTGTCATGGGCCCCTGTACCGCCTCCTCATGCTGCTGCCAGGTCCAGAGTGTCTCATGGGTCCCTGTACGGCCTCCCATTGCTGCTGTCTCCATCGCCACACTCTCTGCCATGTGCCACTTTCAGGTCTCCTCACACTGCTGGTGGGTTCCATTTTGTCATAGGGTGCTGGCAGATTACGGGCCTCCCATTGCTGCTGCCAGGCCCGTAATCTGCCATGGGCCCCCGTACCGACTCCTCATGCTGCTGCCAGGCCCGTAATCTGTCATGGGCCCCCTGTACCTGCCTCCTCATGCTGCTGCCAGGTCCAGAGTGTCTGTCATGGGTCCCTGTACGGCCTCCCATTGCTGCTGTCTCCATCGCCACACTCTCTGCCATGTGCCACTTTCAGGTCTCCTCACACTGCTGGTGGGTTCCATTTTGTCATAGGGTGCTGGCAGATTACGGGCCTCCCTTTGCTGCTGCCAGGCCCGTAATCTGCCATGGGCCCCCGTACCGACTCCTCATGCTGCTGCCAGGCCCGTAATCTGTCATGGGCCCCTGTACCGCCTCCTCATGCTGCTGCCAGGTCCAGAGTGTGTCATGGGTCCCTGTACGGCCTCCCATTGCTGCTGTCTCCATCGCCACACTCTGCCATGTGCCTCTTTCAGGTCTCCTCACACTGCTGGTGGGTTCCATTTTGTCATAGGGTGCTGTATGGCCTCCCATTGCTGCTGCCTCCACCGCCACACTGTGGCTCCACACTCTGGTTTTGGCCCCGTGACTGCCCAAATGAGTGAAGTGTGCGGTGATTCTAAGATCGACGGCACTCATCTGCATGTCATACTGACTGACAGTATTATTTCTCTCCCCAGCAGACTCCAAGGGCATTTAAATTAAAGGTACAGTGTTCTGCAATAATATAAAGGCTCTCTGAAGCCTAGAAACACCCTTTTTATAAGTTAAATTCGCAGCGAACACATTCGCCTCAAATCGAATTTATTCCTCGAATTCGCTGAATCAGCCGAATCGAATTTTTGAATACTTCGCTCATCTTTAATATAGTGTATGTCTGTATTACACCAGGAAAGGATATGCTACGCCACTGCAAAGGGAAAGGATTCAATACAACAAAAGATGCTATAAAAAGCAAAAAAAAAGCAAACGAAAAGGGCATTGGCACTACAATAGTGGTCAAGAAGCCAAAAACAGTTGTATGCAGCTTGGAACTTATGGCTCTATACTATTAAGCTACACACCCCATCCAATTTGGATGTGCATTGGCTGTTGGGGTATAAAATAATGATTTATAAAGCTCAATCTGCTGTTCTGAAATGAGGAATAATCCTCTTATTTTTAGGAAATGTGAAGGAATGAGACTTGTAAATAGTGTCTGTTTTAAAGGATAAGTTCACTTACAAAAAAAAGCAATAAATGCCCATTTTTTTGCAAGAGCCTGTAAAGCAATGCACCGGTGATCAGCAGATCACTGGTACCATGTAGGTCTCCTGCAGACTGTCAGTGTAATCTGTGTGCTCATACTTCGTACAGGCAGACAGTTTTACACTGACAGGAAGACTCAATGAACTACACCAGCGCTCAACAGTGCCGTGGTAGTTCATTGAGAAGAACAAGCCAACATCCGCAAAGGATGTTCGTACTTGTAGTTCATTCATTCACAGAACTCTGTGAATAAATGATGCGGCCATGTGAGCGGGAGCCCCGCATGGTCACACTCTTCAAAAAGTGACAGCTAGTACAGGGAATTTCTCCCCGTACTACAGTCACAGGGAGAGAGGACAGTGGGCACCTTAGAAATGGGTGGAACATGTAACATATTCCCAAAAGTGAACTTATCCTTTAAGAAGGCTTTACTGTGCTACACACTAATTCAGTTGGAGGGCTTTTTTTATTTATTTAGTCCCTTCTCGCTATAACCTGTATGGTTATTGTGTTCCAAGCCCTACTCAATAGAAGCCATTGTTTCAATACTTGCACTGATGATGGCAATTAAAAAAAAAAAAGAAGAAGAAGAAACCTGAAACAGCTGCAGGGAGTATGGAATAGATTCTTGGCTTGGCTTTTGTCTTAGGTCAGGTTTTTTTAATCAGAGATTGGAGGGTTCTAAGCACTGGTCATCTTGACCATGCGGTGTATCTCAATCTATTGCATGTTGCTATTGGGGTGAATGTTGTTGACCCCCTATGAGAAGGTGCTGCCAAGCACAGAGACATCTATGTCAGAGGGCTTTGAAATACCAGAGAAAAATTTGTTCCTTGTGAGAGAAATACTACAAGGAATCTTTTGCATGCAAAAGAAGGAAATTATGCCTTTTCTGTATCATCTGAGGTGAAGGTTCTCTGAAGTTAGATGCAGAGAAGACTTGCTTTCCATACCAAAGGATTTGTGAAGACAAGCATTTGGAAGAAGTGAAGACCATTCTGCAGAAATGAAGTGGTCCTAAAAATATGTCCACTTTTTAATCCTTTATAAGTTAAGGAACATCAATGGGGAAATTTTCTTTGGTCATATGGGTATTTTATGCAATAACATCAGGAGCTGAGTCTGCCTGTATATAAAGAAATTATATTGTTCAATCTGATCTGCTCTTCCAAATTTCTTGTTATTTTAGGAATTCCATGGTTATGGCCAGGAATCTTACCTTTTCATCACATTGTCTAGAGAAGGAGATTTCACATACTGTCATTCAAACCACATCCACTAATCTTGAAAAATTGCCTCTTCATTATCAATATGTGATAAGAAGAAAGCAGACCAATTAACACCACATCGAGCATATGACTGTGCCAAGGGCTACAATTCCATTTGGCCAAATCTACTCCCTTTCAGAACCATAACTGAAAGGTTTAACAGATTTTATATAAAAAAAAAAATCTGGTGAAAGACTTTATTCACACTTCAACATCCCCTGCTGATGCCCCTTTTTTCTTAGTCTAAAAGAAAGATGGGACCCTTTATCCATATATTAACTATAGGATTTTAACAAAATTACAGTAAACAACTATTACCCACATCCAATAATCCTTAAGTTATTTGAGAGACTGAAAACAGCTAATATTTTCACTAAGCTTGAGTTTCAGGGTGCATATATTGTTGTATGTAATTGACTTGGAGACGAGTGGAAGACTGCATTCAGAAAAAGATATGGGCATAATGTTTTCTTGGTAAAGCCCTTTGGACTTTGTAATGGACCTTCTACCCAGCATTTCATTAACAATGTTTTCAGGGACATGTTAGAAAAGATTTTAGTGAAATCTTGATCTTTTGACATCTCAACTTTTCAAATAATCTAAAAGAGCACTAGGACCATGTTCACATGGTTCTAGAGAGATTATAGCAACTACATTAAATGGGAGAAATAAGAATTTGGAACACACCTGTGTGCAACTTTTAGGTTACATCATCTCACCCTGAGGGCTGGACATGGATCCTTGTAAGATTCAGGCTAACTTAGATTGGCCTACACCGAACAATACAAAGGATGTGCAAAGATTTCTAGGATTCTGAGGTTTGTTATTGGAGCTTAATCAACATTTCAAAAATTGTGGTCCCTATCACTCAGCTAACTTTTCATGGTCAATGGTCCAGTGTGACAGAAACATCCTTTCTTGCACTTGAGAACCTTATTTACCACTGCCCTCGTGCAGATTCATCCTAACCCAGAGCTCCTCTTTATAGTAGAAGTGGATGTTTTAAGTGCAGCCATTGTAGCAGCTTTCTGTCAGAGTATTGGTGAAAAAATGTTGTTACGTCCATGTGTATACGACACATACCAAATGACACCAGCAAAGCAGGACTACACTGCTAAAAAAAATTAAAGGAATGTTTTTTTAATCAGAGTATAGCATCAAGTCAATTAAATTCCTGAGATATTGATCTGTTCAGTTAAATAGCAGAGGGGGTTGTTATTCAGTTTCAGCTGCTTTTGTGTTAATTAAATTAACAAGAGGTGCACTAGATGGGCAAAAATGAGACGTCCCCAAAAACAGGAACGGTTTTATAGGTGGAGGCCACTAACATTTTTTTACTAGTCATCTTTTCTGACTTTTTTCACTAGTTTTGCTTTTGGTTAGGGTCAGTGTCACTACTGGTAGCATAAAGCGACACCTGGATCCTACAGAGGTTGCACAGGCAGTCCAACTCCTCCAGGATGGCACATCAATATGTGTTATTGCTAAAAGGTTTGCTGTGTCTTCCACCACAATCTCAAGAGCATGGAGGAGATTCCAGGAGACAGGCAGTTACTCTAAGAGAGCTGAACAGGGCTGTAGAAGGTCCTTGACCCATCAGCAGGACCGGTATCTGCTCCTTTGTGCAAGGAGGAACAGGATGAGCACTGCCAGAGCCTTACAAAATGACCTCCAGCAGGCCACTGATGTGAATGTCTCTGACCAAACAATAAGAAACATACTTCATGAGGGTGGCCTGAGGGCCTGATGTCCTCTAGTGGGCCCTGTACTCACTGCCCAGCACCACAGAGCTCAAATGGCATTTACCATTGAACACCAGAATTGGTAGGTCTACCACTCGTGCCCTGTGCTTTTCCACATATGAGAGCAGGTTCACCCTGAGCACATGTGACAGACATGAAAGAGTCTTGAGAAGCCATGGAGAATGTTATGCTGCCTGTACCATCGTTCAGCATGACTGTTTTGGTGGTGGGTCAGTGATGGTCTGGGGAGGCATATCCATGGAAAGATGCACAGACCTCTGATGAAGGAATTGATGCACAGACCTCTGATGAAGGAATTGATACCATTGAATGGCCCCCATGCTTGCTTGACCTAAATCCAGTAGAACACATCTGGGATATAATAAGGTGCAGAGCTAAAATAAAGTAAATCTCAATACAATAAAGTGCAATGAAATGATGGAGTAAAACAATCTTAATGACATATAAAGTGCAAGCAGTGCTAATTCAAGTGACAATTCAATCAGCACAGGCAAATGTATAAAGTGACAACAGTGTAAATGCACATCCATCAAAGTGAAAACAGTGCCAATAAAGTGATGTCATCTGTATATCAATCAATGAATAAACGTGAAGCTTCAGATAAAAGTGATCCTCAGTGTGTCTTCTGGTGATAAATAAATAATAGAATTACACACTCACCAGATGTGTAATACCATCACGCATTTTGAGAATAATTATATCTCAACGGACCAGCTGGATCCTCTTATGGACACCTCTACCCTGGTATGGACTCTCCTCTGGGTCATCAATGGGATGCAGTACCTTTCACCTCTTCCTGCAATGGACTCAATACTGCTATTGACATCCTGGTCTCTTTGTCACTCCTGTAAACTCTGCGATTCCCTCTGTGGATTTCATTGCACTTTATTGTATTGAGATTTACATTATTTTAGCGCTGCACCTTTCGCTGTTACAGCAGCTCACCCATAGTGCTCACTTTTATGCCTTTTTATTCTACATCTAGAATATAATGTTTTGGTCCATCTGGTACTGCCAGGTTGCACCTCAGACTGTCCAGGAGCTCAGGGATGCCCTGGTTCAGATCTGGGTGGAAATACCCCAGGCAATCATCCGTTGTCTCATTAGGAGCATGCCTAGACTTTGTAAGGCATGCATACAAGCACGTGGGGGCCATACAAACCACTGAGTACCATTCTAAGTTGCTGTAATTAAATTTCAGCAAAATGGATTAGCCTGTTGCATCATTTTTTCACTTTGATTTTTGGGGTGTCTTTAAAATCAGTCCTCTGTAGGTTGATAATTTTCACTTCCATCATCCGATGGGGAATCCTTACATTCCTAACACATTACCCAGTCCATATCAGTATAGATATCCAGCATGATATTTTTCCCCATTGAGATCTGATGTGTTTTCAACATGTTCCTTTAATTTTTTTTTGAGCAGTGTATATCGGAAACTATGAACTTTTA